AAAAAAAAAAAAAAAAAAATATCATGAGATTATTTGATATAGCTAACCAATCAAATTATAAAATTTTTGATTAACCCGAATTAGGCTGAACAAAACAAACAAGATTTTCTCAAAATTATATATTTCTGAGTTTTAGCTCTTTCTACTGCAATAGCTCTATATCTTTGTTATTTTTGCTTTTTTTGCTCAAGTTTCTTAAGAGACTAGGTATTCTTTATAGTCTTTTTTCTTTTTTTAAAGCTATAAATTTGGTTTCTTAATTGTTTTTATATATTTTTGCTAGTTTTTTATTGATTTTGTTTTTTTTAAATTTGTATATAAAAGATTAGTAAAAAGAGTATAATTATATATATATATTGTATATTAGTTAAATATAATTAATTCGTGATCCGCATGCAGATTAGTGAATTTTAATATTAAAGTGCGGGAATAATTAACTTAAAGGTTTTGAACGTGTATTAGAATCTATTAAAGTTCACTAGACATTTTTTTTTTTTTACATGCCCAAACACAAAGAATATACAATTTTATTACTTTCTCGCGGTATATGGGATGAAAGCTTGAATTTTGGGCCTTTTTGCTATAATTGGTAGCTTCCTTGGCCCATTGATAAAGCAAATGAAATAATCCAGCTATACCCTATTTGATTATATTTTAAAACATTAGTCATATTAAAAGCGTGTGAATTTATTACTGAAGTAGTTCAATCTAATTCTGCTTTTGGTCCATGCCCGGGTATATTTGTAAATATGGTGAGATTCAAAGTGATATATGCGAAACGGCAACAGTAGCTATTTCTTCTGTATATCATCAACTTTTCAAAACCAAGACAAAATTTTCAGGTCCAGAAGTTCTAGGATTTGATAAAACAATTATTACAGACGAATTATTATCAGATTTACCCTTTTGCCCTTATAATTTTCAACTTGGGATCCTTCGAATTTGGATAGTAAGAATTGGCTCTAATGAAATTACAACTAATTTAGCAGACCCCGGATTTAAATCAGCCTTCATATATCAATATAATAAAAGTCAGGCTTTGTTTTTTCAAGAAATTGATAAAAATCACTGCAGAGTAACAATTTACTACGAATGCAATGCATGTATAGACTTTATTGAACAAAATCCAGATTTAGTTTGGTCAAAAATTGGAATTCTACGGCAATATAATGGAAATCAACTTTTTGGATTAACTAATCAATACACAAAAAACCTTATACAAGCATCTCAAATCCCGTGTTGTACTTTGAATGAATGGAATAACAAAGAAATAATGCTAATATTTACAATTACTACCTTAAACGTCGTATAATGGTGAATATAAATTGGTATCAATTTTTTTGCAATTGGTTAGAACAACCAAATACAATTATTGAATTAAGGTCGGCCCTGCAGCTGATCTACTCAATAGAATATGAAATTGGAGATCGGGAATTTCGAGCCTGGAAAGCAATGCTAAAAAATGTTAGTTGTTCTGATATTACTCTATATGAAAAAGATCAGTCAAAAGTAAGTAGCCATTTTAATAAATTTTACAATTTATATGTATACTTAATTGATGTGAATCGATTTCTATAGTTTGAGTTTTGGTCTCGGTCCATTACTCTGGATAGTGATAGAAGTTCTTTGTCTACATTATACGATCTTGGATTTGTTACTTTAGCTCCCTTATACTCCTCTATGAATGCTTTTTGGAATTCTTTTCACAATTCTTTGAAAATTAATAAATGCGGTATAAATGGGCATCGACAGGTATTATCTATAATTGCTAATGATTTCAACTATGAAGTTATTAAAAAAAACTTAGGTGTAAGTAGCCTGTTTGAACTTATTACTACCATACCAATTTCTACTTCCCTTTTTAAGCTTACTATTTTTTTTAGGTTT